TTCTTCTTAGACCTTCAGTTCCATTTTGACTAGAGTAGACAAGACTACCGTCACAACATTTGATGGACACTTTTATGATAGGGGTACATTTTACAAAAGTTGTCCCAAGTGTGAAGTTCAGCGAACGCTATGAAGAAGATTTAAAGCCCACCACTGATGAAACAAATTTCCATGGAACTTATTGAAATGTCTTTTATTATGAAGAATTGTTAGAAAAAATGGGAAACTAAAGTATGTAAATCCTGACAAAAAATATAAGCAAAACGGATGTTTGAATTTTCCCGTTGGACGCCATCTTGAATCGAGGGGGGACGTTCTTTGGTTGCCACAAATCAAGAAAATCCTAATATAAAGAAGTCCCAGCCGATAATATTTGATTGTCAAACAAATTCTCCTTGTCAGTAACATGGGAAATGTTGTCAGAAAAGTGCCCTTGACAACCTCACAGAGCACTGTGGGTAGTTTTTCAGGTCATGGTTCCTTGACCTCAGGACTTCAGAGAAATCCGGGAAGACATTGCTGTAAGGAAGAGGCCTGGGCAAAGCGGCTTTGATGAATTTATTTTGTTCCCAATACTGACTTGATTCTATACTTTTGTGACAAATGAATTGGCCCTCATGAAAGATGAAAGCGATGTAAACTCTACAAGAGCAAATTCAAAGTGACCTAAAGAAAGAATGTTCACTAATGTAATATTATATTGTTTTGTTCCTATCACATTCCCATGCATGTCAGTGTTTCTTCCCTGGCTTTTGCCCCTATTTGCTTGTATCACCTATTAAAATTCATTGATTACCAGATACCCACATTATCTTTTGAGATTGTCACACGCACTTTTTCCATTTATCTGACAACCTTTCTACAAACAGCTGTATATAACGAAGTATTTGCCAAGATATATCCAATTATCCTACCTACAATAGTCTTCAGAATACCATTGTAAAAAGTGTACTGCTTACAATGTATGGTCACACTGACTCATTGTGATAGACAACAAGCAGTCCCTCCTTTTTGGCAAAGTCCGTCATGCAAGTCAATGGCCCATTTCTGAATTACCCTTGACCTCTTTTTTCAAAACGAGGCCTGGTGCTTAACCATTCTTGTGAAAATGAGTTTAATTTGCATGTGAATGAAAACTTATTATCATATGAAAGGATGAGCACCAGGGCTCATTTTGAAAATGAGGCTAAGGGTAATTCGGAAATGGGCTATTATAATAAATGACAAAAGTTTGATGTCAGCAGACCCCTAAGAACTCTAGGAGTGAGGTACATTAAAAGTAATGCATATTAGTTGCAGTACTTTTTGTGCGCTTCTCTCCCAAAGCTCTGCACAGTGAGCTAACATCAATGTAATTCTTCTTTTGGATCAGTATCTGAGCAACAGCATACCTTCCCTCCCCTGCCCTAACCCAACCTGTACAGTCAACTGATGACAAGTTAGCAGTAAATTTTTTGTTACGGGAGCGGTAGGTGCACAGTTTCTCAGATACTGACTTTGGTCATTGTTTTTAAATTGATTTTTTTTTTACTTGACTGGCAGACTTCCCAAAAAGCAGGGACTTCTCATAGTCTATCATCCTGATAAATGGAAAGAAACTTTTTGAAAACAAACAAACAAAACAGGGGAGCATCTTGACAAATAATATTATTATAGACTGCACCTTGTTAGGTATAAGTTAAATGATTCATCTCTAAAGCATATTCAACAAAGAACATTCTTTCGAGGACACCAGGTCGGCAGGTAATCTTCCATTTTTATCTTTTACTTTCACAAGACTGGAGTCCAAATCAACAAACAACCTGACGACTTCCTTTTGCGACTTTTCAGCAGCCTAAAATTTCAGCCATAAAAAGAAATAATACTATTAACAGCAGTGGCTTATACATTAAGTATTTGAATGTCCCTAGCCTGCTATTTTGAATTCTTGTACTGGGTACAGAGTGGAGTGTTGCTAAGGACAAATAATAAAAGACCAAGTCGAGAGACCAAGACAAGATACTGAGGCAAGAGACAGAGGCAACTGTTTGGTACAAAGTTGACTCTACAGTACAACCTTAATGCAGGTCCTTTGTTCTTTGAAGAAGTACAGCTAAAAAATTTTATTAGATAAGCCTAGGATGATAAAGAGGCAGAGTTGTGGGCTTTGCTTAAGACTGTTCATATAGATTGTTTTCAGTACAACTAGTCTGTGAGGTTTGTAGACTGACTCGCTTTATCTGGTCAAGGATTACATCACATCCACTCTGATCTCCTCCTTCACTTGAGACTATCATTCAAGCAATGAACTACTCTTCTTAGGGGGCCAATGTGTAATACATCAATGATGGTACTGCAGAGATTTACACAGCAAAAGAAAAAGCTGTTTTTCTGATAATTCAACGAGTATCAGTGATAAAACAAACTTTGTTGATATACTCAAATTATTTCGTTACCCCCACCGACGCAGCCCCAAACAGTTTCTTTAGAAACTATCAGCCTTTATTGACTATATTACCAATGTGAAAAACAAATGTTTTGTTTTTTTTTTAAATACACAAACATGCCTTGTATTTTTCATTTGTTCAAGAATCATAGTAACATAATAATTATGATAAACAAAGGAAACACCACATATATGAATCAAACTACTTCAAAACCATTAATTTTTGACCTAGTTTTGAACCACAACAGTTTCACAGTTACCTTGTGCAGAGGGATTTGTCCATCACTGTCACAGAGTCTTGGATCAGCACCATATTTGATGAGCAGCTTCACTACCGACAAGTGACCAGAGTATGCAGCTCTGTGTAGTGATGTTACTTTGCCTGATCTGGTTTGGGCATTCACATCTGCTCCTTGTTCCAGGAGCAACTGACAGACCTCTTCATGGCCACTGCGGCTAGCATAATGCTGTGAAGAATGAAAACATAAAAATAGACCACAAATCACATGGATAGCTCTTTGCCAAATTCTTATTTGTTTTCAAGGTCAATGACTTTGATTTTATAGTAAAAAAGATAGATTAATTTATTAATATTATTGTGAATATGATTAGAATTATGGCTTGGAATCTTTTCATCTCTGGAAAGGTCAAATGCCCGTGAGTACCCAGGAAGAGGGGGAAGGAGTGGGTGGGGGAGGGGGGGATGTTGAAGCTTCGAATTGATTGGCACTTGAGGACATAAATTATGTTATTATTTTACCAGAGCTGTATATCCCGAGCCATCCTTTGCATTAGGGTCTGTTCCCTTGTACAATAATTTCCTGACTCTGTTCACATTACCATCCAGCGCAGCCTGCCATATTCCTCTCTCAAAGTCCATTTCAGAGAGAGACTGAGCATAAGTTGATGATTTAGAGGAACAACCACATTCTGCTGCGTTGTCGACATGATTGCAGAGATCTTCCATTATCAAGCGTATGAACTACGACATGTTTACGAATTAACTCTTTGAAAGTATATTTAAAAGATAGTCTGCTACCTCAAGTCTACTTGCAAATGCAGTAAGCCATGTTCGTTGTTCGTTCTCAACGGAGCACAGTCGATTTACTAAACGACCGCCATGTTAGCTTACTTCATGCTTTATGTAAACAGACATGAATTGTGGCTTAGTTAAAATTGAGGAATTTGTATCACGCAACAGGACTTAGCAACGTGATTTACATGGGGATACTCTTGGAAAATTTTACTAAGACAATTAATCTTCATTTATTCAAAATGTGCCAATTGCGTTGTGAAACGGAAAAGATACGATTTTACGAGGGTTGTGTAGTCTAAAATTTCGACTGCGTGGGCCCTGGAATCATCAACTCGTTTCCATTCCCCTAGATTATGATAATCCCGGGTCATAATTCGTCTTCGTTTCGTTTTCTTGACATTTATTGTGCATATTTTAGCGAATTTTAGGATCAAAATGTCCAGAAATGGAGAGACTTGTGTTTTAAATCGACACCGTAGTCCATCTCCAAGACATGGCCACCATAACAATCGCCCTGCCCGCTACAGATCTCGCTCAAAATCGAGGAGTCGTAGTCGGAGTAGAGAAAGAAGCCGGAGCAGAGAGCGCTATCATTCCAACATGTAAGTAATAATTGTACTCAAACTGGAGTGATTAGGCGTACTTAATCAATTTAGATTAAAAGCGAAGTAATTCACTGAATGCTACTCGCGTGAAACTAATTTCGTATTCAACCGAATCTGATACGTTTCAAATTCAATGCCCTGAATGAAAAATATCCAGGCTATACAAATCGAAATTTCGTCAAGAAAATTCACTACAATTGATTCATAATTGCTTGAAATATTGTTAAAATCTTATCCTTTTGTGATTCTATCTAACCAAAATATTTATTCATATCGACAATTCAATCAATTTAACGCATAAAAGGAAACTTTGAAACCACATTTTAAGAAGATGGATGTGACATGACGAGAAATGGAATAACCTAGCCTATGTAATTATATAAGAAAAGGTTAGCATTTGAAATGTTCAAGGTTGTTAATGGACCAGAACATAGACTGTCATCCTTTTTCGAGACCTATGAATCTAGCAGGAAGGGCCTCCTGGTTAGTATGAGACGAATGAATACTGAATTCGGCAGACAGTTCCTAATTTTTAGAGGTCCGGTTGTATGGAATGCCCTAAATAATAATACTAGAAAACTGGTAAATAAGGATCTATTTAAATGTGCCCTAAAGAAATGTGAAGAAATTGATCAAATTAGCTTTCAAAAAGGTACTTGCATCAACTTGAGCGAGAACATTGAAGGTTTTATATATTTTTGAACCATTCTTTTATTTGTATATAAATTTATCTTATCTTAGTTAACTGATAATTATGCATTAGATATATTTTGTGATCCGTTTTTATTTAGGTAGCAATGATTAGACAAGTTATTAATTATTTATATGTACATGTAAAGGTCCACATTAGCCTAGTGCTGCCATACTTTTGACCTTTTTCAATAAATGATGTATGTATGTAATTTGTGTGTGTGTGTGTGTGTGTGTGTATGTGTGTGTGTATATGTGTGTGTGTGTATGTATGTATGTGTGTGTGTATGTATACATGTATGTATGTGTGTGTATGTGTGTGTGTGTGTGTGTATGCGTGTATGTGTGTGTATGTATGTGTGTGGGTGTATGTGTGTGTGTATGTATGAATGTCTGGTCTGACAGATCTCATAGCTGACGTATACAGTAGTAAGCTTTATTTTATTTGATTTTATGATACTATAACTACATAAAAAAAATTGTGACAAGATGAGAAATGTATATTTGGTGTGATGGGTCTGAAATACAGGAAGCTGTACCTTATTCAGTTTTATTGTACTGTAGGCATCACAGAAGGAAAAGAAAACCAACACCAGAGAGCTTCATGGACAGGTGGGTTGCATCTCTATAATTATCTCATGAGAGAACATTTTCTCATTCAGTCTGAGTAAACAGATCAAGAAAGATGGAAAATTTTGAGCACTGTCAGTTCCCATTAGTTTTGATAGTTAAGAGTCCTTGGGACCCCCAGTTCCAAAAAGTTGGGTCCTTTTAGCTTTTTAGGGGTTCCCTGCTTTTTACTAAAATTTGATTTTATAGTTTCTAACAGAGAGGCAAAAGCCAAGACCAGGTGTTAATGCTATTAACAGAGCTTTAATTTTTGAATAAAGTGCGCTCATGTTTCTTAACAAAAACCTTTTTTTTTTTTTCGGTTGAATCATATTTTAACCATTGAAACTCCTCCAACCATTTAGGACAAAATTTGCATTTCTTCACTCTGGTTATCATCCCCCAGATCTGTATCACTTCCAGGTTTCCCCTTTCAAATATCAAATATATTGAATAAGCCCTTCTGAGTAGACATGCTCTTGACCATCGTGGACGAAATGGCAGGTCAACGGACATGCAATGATGATTGCAGTAATTCTTGGGTAGGGTCTGCCAGACCTAGCTCCTAACTAGTTGGAACCTTTTTCCTGCATTCCAAGAACGTACATTGGCAAAAACTGTGTGTCCTTTTCATTTTTTATGCATATAAGACGCACACCTGTGCATTAATGGGAACTCTGACTGTAAAGGAATAAGAGAACACATTCTTTGTCATGACAGAGCATAAATGAAGAAAGCTGAGTCCTAATAAATGCGGAATCCTATAGCAGACCTTTAAATTCCATAATTATGTTCCACTGAGCTACAGAGAACCTAATAGTTAGCTATGCTAACTTGTGGACTTCTCTGTTACCCAGTTGCAGGGTGTGGAATCCAGAGATTTGGGATTCAAATTCGACTCCCCATGGACTTTTTTCCTCTAGTTTATTAAAGCCGTAGTTTATCATAGAGTTTTCTGTTGAAGAGTGCTAGAGCATCAGAGCAATGAAATTCCAAGGTCTGAAAATTCAGATTTGTCCTGTGCTCATGACTAGATGATTAACAATTTATTAATTATTACTAAAGTAAATTTCTTACATCTTGATACACCTGTGTGCCCCAAATATGCATCCTTCTTTCATGCCTTACCAGTCTTCAGTCTGTAGAGTATGGCAATTGCAAAAACAAAATAAAATCAAGTTCCCTGTGAATTCAATTATACAGCTGTAAGCTGGGTATATCAACAAAGTTGAAATGGTAAATTGGCCACCGTAATGATTACAAAAGCTGACGTTTCGAGCATTAGCCCTTCGTCGGAGCGAATTATTTCGCGAATTATTTCGCTCCGACGAGGGGCTAATGCTCAAAACATCAGCTTTTGTAATCATTACGGTGGCCAATTTACCATTTCAACTTTGTTGATATATCCAAATAATTTCGTTACTCCCACCAACGCAGCTCCAAACAGTTTCTTTCAAAATTCGAAACTATCAGCCTTTATACAGCTGTAAGGCAGTTTATGAACAGCTCTTGTGTTAAAAACCATTCGTTTGTTTTTTGAGGGAGCTTTGCTGCCATGATTTCAAAAAAGCTTTTCCAAATAATTGCCATACACCTATTATTTGTTCATGTAGAATGTCAGAATGCCAGAAAGGGATGACCAGTAATGAACTGAACCCAAGGAACTGTACAATTTTGCTTTTCAACAACCTAGTAAGAAGATTTATGATTGCTCCAAGGGTTGAAAGGGCTAGCTTGAAGACCATGTTATGTGACAAGTTTATTGTTTATTCACAGTAGTTGCTTGTTGACCATTGCAGACGGCGAAAGGAGCGTGAAGAGATCAGTGCTACTGGGGCCATAGAAGTTTGGGGTTTGTCCCCAAGAGAACCTCCGCCAGAGTATGTTCACTGTCATTAACAAACAAACAAACAGTAATCAATTGATTGATTATTAATGATTTTTTATGATTTATTAATTCCAGTTATTTGCTGCAAATTTGTTTTGGTTAAATTTTTTGAGTAAAGAAACTTTTCACTCAAGTTTGTTGCCAATTTAAATTAATTGGTACATTGCTTGAATTATCGTACAAAACACATTTCCTGTGCTATTCGTTGCTGCAATAAATGGATGAAGTTATCTTTGTACTCCAGATGAAGCAGGAGAAAATAATTTTTTTTCATAGGGGGTGATTTATTGGAATAAGCTATTACAAGACTCTTACCAAACAAAAAAGAGAGCTTAATATTGAAGCAGGGCACTGACTTGTACTCAAACCATACAAATTTTAAGAATTTCTAAATGTATATTAATTTAGAGTTTTTTATTTTGATAGTTCTGATGATGAGCTGACCAAGACAGCTTTAGCCTCAGACAGGATAAAAAAAAGTAAGTTAAAAGTATTAGAGAAAGGGAGTTCATTTGATATAATTATACGTTCTTATGCTTACTTTGCAGCATTATAATTATGCCTTTTTAAACTAGATTAGAAAATGTTAAACCAAGGGGCAACTTTTTTTTCAAACATCCTGGGTTGTCAGCAAGAGCTGTAAACAGGCCAATGTGGCTGTGTACTCTGCCATCCTCACTGGCTACCCAGCTGCTACTGAAACCTGTCATATCTATTCATGAATTAAAGATCAATAATACCATCTTAGGCCTTATAAGAAAAGCTGTATGGTTGCTGGATGCTGTGTGGGAATCGTTGAAGGCTGATGTATATGGAGACTTGTTCACTAATCAGAAGTATTGCTTTGAAGGTGAAAGTGATAGTGAAGAGGACAGCAGTGAGGAAGAGAAAAAGAAAAAGAAACACAAGAAATCTAGTAAGAAGAAGACTAGGAAAAGTCGTCATAGAAAGAAAAGGTAAGCTCTATGAAGAGTTCTTGTTGTGAACTCCATTTTAAAAGGATTGATACTACCCTTGGTGGATCAAATCCTAAGCTTTAATGGAATGACATGTGCTATGTGAAAAAGATTCAATCACCTTCAAGTTGATACATTGTACTGGTATTCACAAGCCTTCATCACATAATAACCACTAAATGAATTTAGTATTATAATTTCAGAGCTGAGCAAAGAGTTTCCAGCAGTCTGATTGGTCGACCAGTTCCTTATATGACGCTATCTAAACCACTCCACGTGGTTTATATAAAATGTTAAAATAAAATGTTAATAAATGTTACTGAAAATGTTATGATTGATTTATACATTTCTCTGTTGTTCAGCTCTCAAATCATACTAATTTAAAAACAATTATTCACCTCAGGTTTGGTGAATATTGTTGAATAATCCCCCGACTTCATCTTGGCGATTATTCGACGATACTCACCTCGCCTTCGGCGAATAATTGTTAAGTATAATTATTATTTTACCCTTTTACTGTAGGAGTGACCAGCATCTAATTTCTCCTAACAATGTCACCCCTGAATTAAACAAAAAGGTCAGGAGAATAAAGGAAGTGATCTTCAACCAACTCAAGAAGCTCTTGATTGTTAAACAAATTCTCCTTGTCAGCCAGCACCCTAGGAAATGTTTAAAGAACAGTATGGAGAATAATTATATTCATGCCGAAGTTAAAATGTAAAGGATTAAACAATTTGTCTCACTCTAAACTAAACAGTTCATTCCCTAAGAATTGTACAGTCAAGCTATTGGTATTGGTATTCATGTTTTTCTCGTTGCCATGCTCCCACCAATAACGTAGCTCCATTTCTGCCTTTAAAAGCACACACAACCCACAATTCCTCTATTCCCTCCGACGAAGGGCTAATGCTCGAAACGTCAGCTTTTGTAATCATTACGGTGGCCAATTTAGCATTTCAACTTTGTTGATATATCCAAATTATTTCGTTACTCCCACCCACGCAGCTCCAAACAGTTTCTTTCAAAATTCGAAACTATCAGCCTTTATTGGTATTTCAGATCTTGAACTTTTGACTCTGGCTCTACCAATGGCCACCTGAAAAAGACAAGCAGTATAATAGTCCCAATCTGCATTTGATACCCTGACTTTAAACCTATTTACAGTGCTGTTAAGTAGTGTTAAAAAATTGTGGTTGTGGTGATCACATTTTTATAAAATTTAGGTGATCAAAATGTGCAATTACAGTTACTGACAGTGACTAGCATTGATTCTATTTTGTCATACCTGTGTTTCCTATTCAGTAAAAAACATCGCAAGAAAAAGGCACGGCAAAAGTCAAGCTCTGAGAGTGATGAGGAATCAGAAGGTAAGGTATTATTTATTAGATTTTACTTATAAACTACTAGGCACTTAACAACTTGGCACGTGCGTACATTTGTGAATTGCTTACATCTTACACCCCATCACATCAACTAAGCTCATCATCCAAGCACCTTCTGGTTTCTCCATCCTATAACTTGAAAACATATGGCACAAGATCCTTCTCTGTAGCAGCACCATCATTATGGAATGCTTTGCCATGTGAAATTAGAAATGCTCAGTCTGTGTCTGTTTTTAAAAGTAGATTAAAAACTTTTCTCTTTAGAAAAGCCTTTTGTAATTAATATTGGCTGTCTTAAGTGTTAATGTTAAAGTTTTTGTAGGCGCCTTTGAACAGTAGGATACTGGCGCAGTATAAATCTATTATTATTATTATTATTATTATTATTATTATATACTTCCAACTGCTTAAGCAGTGTACCGTCTGAATTTCCAGTATGATTACTTTTTCAAACCATGTATTTTAATACAGGTTGTGAATACAAGTTGTGAGCTTATTTAGGCACTAGGTTAGAGAGAGAAATTTCAATAAGGTTAGTTTATTCTTCAGAAGAAGATGCTGATGTAGAATGGCAAGAGTCATGGATTGAAAAGCAAAAAGGTATTTTCAATTGATACTTGTACATGTTTGAGAATTTGAAATTGCATGTATGGAGTCAATTGGAAGAAAAATTTCATCTTTTGCAGTGTTCTATTGATAAAATAGGGTACAAATGGGCAGGTTAGAATAACAGTGGGTAGTTTTAAAAGCCTGGAGAGCCTCCTGTTCTCGCAGAGTTCTGGACTATCCAATGAAATTTGGAAGGTTTAGGCTTCTTTGTTGTTCCTCAAAGTCAACCATCATTAAAAGATTTAAAGAGATTTTCCTTCATGTAAGGGGCAAAGTATGATGACACGTTGTAGTAAAGGCTTTTAGCAGTCTGCCAATACATTACAAATGGGTAGATCTAGACCTGATAATGGCCTCCATTTGAAACTCTTGTATTAGAAGTCTTAGGAAACAGTTACACTTGAGTGTGGTAGTTCACCAATTACATGAAATTTTGTACTGAAGGCAAGAATCCTTTGGATAGAGAAGTGAAAATAGCTTACCACAGAGGTTTTTTTAACCCTTTGACCAGAGTGACCTAAGAGTGACCAGAATCCAATTTCTTTAAGTACAATTTACCCCTGAATCAAACATTAAAAATGTGACACAAATAAACTAAGGGAATGATCACCAACCAACGATTGTTTAACCAATTCTCCTTGTCACTACCTTAGGAAAAGTATAGAGAACAGTATGGAGAATATGCATACTGATGATAGTGTGAAAGGGGAACAGTTAAGTTAATTTGTTTATGTGGCATTATAGACAAGGATAAAGAGGGAGGCAATGCTGTCATTGGGCCTCTTCCACTGATGCAAGACACAGGCAATCAAGACATTACTGAGTAAGTATGAATATTAAG